TAAACAAAAATATAAAATAGGAACTGTATGAAAACATCCCATCATGAAATGGAAGTAATACATGTAATGTTAGCCTCAGGCTGACCCTAAAGGCAACAGTAATCAGATGGCTTAGACTCCAGTGACAGCCAGTCTTGCTGCACTGACAGATTTCCACCAACTTTAAACATATAGCCTGTGGGAAATCCCCAATAATAGATTTCTTCAGAAGAAAAAATTCAAGCCCTGAAATTATAAGTACTTCTTTAAAATATGTGGGCACCACCCAAAAAGGGACTTCTGCTGTAATAATCCCCATTCACTAGGGCCCTGAAGGACCACCAACAAAGTAAATGCTATCAACAGGCAGAATCTGTGGTGATATATCTGGTTTTGTACCTGGTAAGTTTATCTTACATAAAATGTGAAATTTAAAGAGGTATGGATCTGTTCCAGTGTATGGGCAATGGCTATGGTCTAGGAATGTTGAATGGGCAAGATAAGAGGACTGGGAAGAGGTCTATAAAACAATTAAGACATTAGACATCTTTGGATAGGTACAAATTATAAAGATATTAATTCCCCATAGACTATTTACTAAAAAGTGCCCATGGTAGGAAAAAACATATAATGTCAGAATGAAGAGGCAAAATCAGGTAGACAAGATGATCCTTCCCATGAATTTCAGTCAGACGTTTTTTAAGGCACCCCAGTGTTGCTCAACAGATTCATGACAAAAGGCCACAGTGGCATGAATAGAGATTTACCTGGGTTCATCAGAGCTAATCTTGTTTACTTTCCCCTAAATACTCAGTATGACAACAATGGAGACCAACATCAACCCATGATATGAACCACTGCTCAAGGACAATGGTCAGCTATAGAGGTACATTAATTGCACTACTTTTTTTTTTATTTTCAGTACTGAGAATTGAACACAGGGGCTTTATAGGAAGCTCCATCTTCACTCCCTTTATTGCTATCATTTTTTAAAATGATAAACTAAGGAAGGACATACTGCTGCATCCTCTCATTAACCCTAAGAACATGGTTCCAAAATATGAATATAAGTAAGAATGTGATTCCACAGTATAAGAATGTGGTTCCTCCTCAACTTAGAATTCTGTTGGATTCTGTATTTTAATTCTGAATAGTAAAGTACATCTACCAGGAGTGGAATGGTTCATTTAGCTGACCAGAAGCTAAAATTACCACCGAAATTGTGGGGCTTTCTATGTCACTGAATCAACAGGCAAAGAAAGGTACAACTAATAGAACTGAGTAGAAAGAAGAAACAGGGAGCAAGGAGAACTATTTCAGGAACCAGAGCCTTCTCTGGAGAACATATTAGTATCTCTGTGTGCAGCTATAAAAGTTAACAGAAAACCAGGAAAACAATACAGGAGGATCATTCATATATTACAGCCCCAGACCCCATCCTCTTGACTATTATATCCTCCTGGTGTAGTGGCCAGGGAACTGGGCAGGGAATAGAACCCTGTGTCTGAATACTACTTCTGCCTCTAGGTACAAGGGTTCAAATGGGGATGTTATTGGACTTCCTAGACATTGTTTTTCTTCTCTTGGACTTCCGGTATACCCTGTTGCTATTTCCTGTGTTTTCTGTGATTGTGAGGATCAGATGGGACCATCAGAATGAAGGCTACACCATTAGTGTAAACCTCTGGGCCCTTGAGGGATGTTAACAAGGATCTTCTCATTATCAGCAAAGCACAGGAACAAATCTTATCTCCCTCTTCTCCCATAGGTGCCATAGGAGATGTCATGAATGAGCCTTGACGGATGGTGAGTGTGGTGCCAGGGGATCACCATCTAGAGAGAAAGTATCTCAAGAGACCTGCTTGAAAGGAGGATCCTCAGGGTTCAATGGGCCGTGGCTCAGCCTGAACCTGCTACATCCATCAAGGTCTCACCTGGAGAGATAGAGGAGATCCTAGTGTGGACCAAACTGAACAGGTGAGTGATGCTGGGAATGGAGTGCCTAGAGATGGCAGAGAAAGCTGGGATAGAGAGACAGGAACAGGAATCCAGGTGCTATAAATCTGGGCCTCAGATAGGAAAGACAGATTGGGTATGCACAGAAGCAAGCATCAGAAGCCAGGATGGCTCTGCATACATGAGCTGGGAGAGCGTCAAGGCATCCATCCTGACAGGTCAGGGCAGGGTGTTGTGCTCACAGAATTCAAAGAATCTAGGTCAAGACCTTCCCATAAAAAGACAAGCTGAAGACAGCAGAAACTAGCAATGCTGAGGTCTAACAAGTCCCAGGCTCTTTGTAGCACTCTCTAAGCATTCTCTCCTGAAAGAAAATTTATAAAATCACAGATAAGGGAAACCAGAGTCAATGAGAAAAAAAGTGACTTACTCCACGGCACAAAGCTGAAAGTGGAATGGGGACAGGAATGCAGTCCTTTCAAACTCCCAACTTAATCACTATTGTGTCTAAGTTGTAATGAAACTAGAGAACGAGACCTGCAGAGGAGCTCACTAAGAGCCTTCTCTCTCTCTCTCTCTCTCTCTCTCTCTCTCTCTCTTTGGCATATGGGCCACAGGACATCCGACTCTGAATCTCCTGTTCTGCCCAAATCAGAGGGGACATGCAAAAAATGGTTTGTTGAATTGTAACCCTTCAAACATTTTCCCCTCAATCCACTCACCATAAAAAAGGAGGTCGGGGCTTGGGCTCAGGGTCTCAAAATCACAGGAAGGACATGGCAGAGCTGCTTGAAGAACCAGCACTCTTGGTTGCCAGATGGGTCTCAGTCCTTGGCAGCAGGGAGTCTCCAGGAGCTGCCTCTGCCTCATCCCTCTGAGTCGACAAGGGCCTGCCCCTTGTCTGCTCCTCACTATCATTTGTTGAAGAAGTATAACCTCTCGCTATGGAGTCTAAGTGATAAGAAAAGATGAGATGCTTACAATACAGTTTCTACTTTCAGGAAGCTAGTTTTTCTGTCTTTTTCTCTCCTCAACACTATAACCAGCTCCCAGACATCCCTATAGAGAAGATCTGCTGGGGCAAGCTGTGAGCACTGGGGAACAGTGCTATGTTGGCCCTAAACACAAAGCTGCATGATTCAGAGGCAGATATAATTCAGATGATAACCATCTAAGCCTGTGAAATAAACATGAGAAAGTTCAGCAAATGCTGATGTTTTCTATAATAAACTAGTACTTTGGAATATTAAATGTTAAATTATTTCAGAAATTAGCTTTGGTACCCCCGCTTTGCTGGTGTCCCAAGTCTGGGCATCTTGTTACATAGTCCACAACCACCAGGCTATGAAAAACCATAATACCCCTCCAGTAGCCTCTCAGCATCTGTGTTTCCACCTATAAAGCAGCAGACAGAGGAGGGAGGGAGGGAAGATACAGTGGTGCCTCTGAGGGCTCCTTTGGTTTTGACCCTCTGAGTGCCTGTCCTTCTAGGCTCTACCCCAAACTCAGCCTTACCTGGGGGTAGAGGTGCGGTGGTCTCTCTGAGCCCAGCATTCAGGGCAGCAAGGTTTGCATCCATATGAGTGTGAGGAAATGCTGAGTACTCCTTCTGTTGGCTTCTGGCTGCGGGATACTCTCAGTTTGAGGCAAAGCAGTCTCTGTCTTTTTCAATTCTTGGATATGCTTTTTGAAGGAAGCATTTTCATTTGCAGACATCAATTTAGTATCTGCCATATAGAGAACCAGATAAAAATTTGAAATTTAGTTTTGTCTGGTTATCAATGGCAAAGGAAAATGGGAAATATGTTCTCCCCTTGAAAACCTGAACTTCTGTATTCTCCAGGAAGGATGTATAGAAGAAAGGGCTCTTTCTGGCTGTGCTGCCAGCCAGTTGTGGCACTTAGCCAAGTCCTGCCCTTCATATGCACCATTTCTGGCCTAGAGACAGTGCTTGTCTATTTATTTATTTCATTTTATTATTCTGGTTTTATGCATGAGATTTTTTTTGAAGAATGGGAAATTAGAAGTGATTCTAAGGAAAATAAGGGGGAACTACTCATGGAATCATCAAGATTAAGGAAGCCCTAATGCCAATATTCTCATAGACTTGCTCTGATGGTCATATAGGCCAAAGGACAAGCCTAAAAAGCACAGTGAGTTATTACTTTCTTTCAGCTCAAAATTCTTGAGCTGTGGCTTGAACTTTCACTTCTGATACACCTGGCAGGGGTTCTTTTTCTTTAGAACTGATATCCAGTTTATCTTCATCAACAATGCAGCCCAAGCCTTCCCAGAACACCAGGGCACTTTCTGACCTGCGGACAAAGGAGCCTACAGGGAATGGGCAGCAGTGGTCACACAGGGGCATGTGCCGAGCTGCAAGAGTACTAGGACGGTCACTGAATAGAATCACACAGATACTGCATTGGATTCTCTGTTGCTGACGAATCATGGGAAGAGGCCATTAATAGGATTCCTGTCAGGAATGATTCTTCCTGCCACGAACATTTTCAGTGTAACTCCTTGACTGTAATGATGACAAACAACCCCACATGCAGAGACAGAGTACCGAGTATTCAGCTTTGATGGAGATAGCAGAACCACTGGACCAAACAAACAATAGAAAGGAGACGGTCTCTGATTAATTAGTAGAAAGGGAAGTCAGTAAGCCTTGGAGAAATCAGCCCTCTCTAGTTACATGGTGACAAAGATGTCACTTTTTAAAAACTTGAACATATCCAAAAAAAGAAAGAAAATTTAAGATCTAATGTCTCCAAAAGGACAATATGGCACATGGAAAGAAAGACCCACAGAAAATCCTCCCTAGCACTTAACATAATTGATTTGAAAAGGAAAGGGAATTTGAGGGTATGATGATGAATTTGGGGGTTGCACAGATCCTGTTATATGTCCTTTAGAGTTGCTTGTAAATCAACATGGTTACATTAATTATGCAGAGGTCACTCTGTAATTATCATTCCAAACTCTGCTTATTCTGTTTCCAGATGAGCCTGCTTTCCAGATGTTCTACTACCCATTTCCTGAACATTCAGTTTTAATCCACAATGGAGACCACAACATGTAATGTATCAGGAGAAGCCTTAACCATTTTCTACCTTACAGGCATTCCCTCTCTGCCAACTTACCTCATCTTTCCTATATTCTTCATCTTTCTCATTCTTTATCTGCTCATCCTTGTGGGTAACACCTTGATCCTGGTGGCTGTGCTGACAGAGCCCAACCTCCACAAGCCCATGTACTTCTTCCTAATTAACCTCTCAGCACTAGACATCTATTTCACCACAACCACAGTCCCCAAGATGCTGTCCCTATTCCTATTTGGGGACCACTTCCTCAGCTTCCCTGCCTGTTTCCTGCAGATGTATCTGTTTCATAGCTTTTCCTGCTCAGAAGCTTTCCTCTTGGTGGTGATGGCCTATGACCGCTATGTAGCCATCTGCCGCCCACTGCACTACCCTGTCCACATGACTCCACACACCAACGTTGCACTGACAGCCAGTGCCTGGCTCTCTGCCCTCCTCCTACCCATCCCAGCAGTGGTACAGACCTCCCAGATGGAATTTGACAACATCGCCTACATCTACCACTGCTTCTGTGACCACTTGTCTGTTGTCCAGGCTTCCTGCTCTGACACCAGCTCCCAGACCCTCCTGGGCTTTTGCATAGCCATGGTGGTGTCCTTCTCCCCCCTCCTCCTGGTGCTTCTGTCCTATGCTCGCATCCTGGTCTCGGTGCTTCGCCTCAACTCCCAGGAAGGACGTTCAAAGGCCTTCTCCACCTGCAGCTCCCACCTCCTTGTAGTGGGCACCTACTACTCTTCCATTGCCATAGCCTATGTGGCCTACAGGGCTGACCTGCCCCTCGACTTCCACATCATGGGCAATGTGGTGTATGCTATTCTCACACCAGTGCTGAATCCTCTCATCTACACACTGAGGAACAAGGATGTCAAAGCAGCCATCATCAAAATGACATGCCCCAGGAGATAAAGAATTATAGGAATTCCTGATTCAAAGAGTCTATCTGATCTTCTCTCATAAACACCGACAACACTAGAGGGAGACACGGAAAAATTGAGGCAGCCAGGTAGAAGAATAATTCTCAAAGCATAGTTCTAGATAGTTTTCTATTGTAATCAAATAACAGAACTTTCCTGGATTCACAGACAAAATGTTTTTGAGCTGTACACCCTCAATTTTACAAGACTGTAAGTATAATTGAGATAGTAGTACCATTCATTTGAACAATGTTGATTCTGTAGTCCTCCAAGTGCTTGACTAAAAAGAAATTTAGTCATTTCTCTTTAATCTATTCTTTCAATATTTCTGAAAATCCCTTGCGTTTCTGGAAGGAATTGTTCTTGCCTTTTTTGTAGAAATAGCTGCATAGAAGCACACTGCAAAGGAAAACCTGAAAGTGCTGTCTCAATCTTAGCTGCCTGAAAGTCCCCTGCTATCACTAACATTTCAGTGCCAGCTGCACAGGGGCTTGGCCTCTGCTATCTGGACCTTGATGGTGTCTTAAAAGCCAAGCATACTCCCCACTCAGCTTATGCTCCGCCAAATGTGTCCCCTAGGATACCTGTTTGGACAAAAGCATTAAGATTTTTTTAATTCTCAGCATTCTGTAGTTTCCTTATTCATGACATTGTGTAGCAAAATAGAGAAGTTTCTCCTTATCAGCAGTATGAGGTCTGATTTTAAAATACAGTCGGTATATAAATTTTTAAAAATTCTTATAGTAAAAGACACATTGTCATTTATCCACCTCAAAATGCTCCTCCCGACTTTGACCACGTGCATCCCACCATTCTTGTCACTTTCTGAAGCAGCTCTGGAAGTCCTCTTTCGTGAGTATCTTCAGTTGCATTGTCGTGGCTGACTTGATATCCTGGAGCAAGTCAAAATGTTCACTTTTCACCATCACTCCACTCCTGTGGAAGAGCCAAAAGTTGCATGGTGTCAGATCCAGCAAATAAATTAAAAAGGACACACTGTAATGGTTTTATGAACTTACCTTTCGCATTTTTGTGAAGAACACGTTCAGGAGGGTAAAAAGACAATCACAGAATGGGAAAAAGTATTTCCCAGTCACTTACTTATCTAATAAGGAATTAATATCCAGAATATATATAGAATTCCTACAACTCGACAACAAAAATACAAACTGTGTGGGCCGGGGATTTAGCTCAGTGGTTCTGCCTCCTGCCTTGCAAGCACAGGGTCCTGAGTTTGATTCCCGGTACCAAAACACACACACACACACACACACACACACACACACACACACAGCTAAATTTAAAAATAAAGAAAGGACTTGAAGAGAAGAAAATATACAAGTGGCTAATAAGCACAAGAATAGATACTCACTATCATGAGCTGTTAAGAGAAATGCAAATCTAAACCACAATGAGATACCACATTACACCCATTAGGATGGATACTTAAAAATATATATACACACACACACACACACACACTAAGTGTTGGTGAGAAGGACTTTGGGGCACTGTCTTTTTTTGTTTTTAATGGTGCCAGGGATCGAACTCTGGCCCTTGCACTTGCAAGGCAGGCGGCAGAACCACTGAGCCAAATCCCTGGCCTTTGGGGCACTGTTAATAGAAATATAAAATGATGCAGCCATTGTGGAAGACAGTGTGACAGTTCCTCAAAAAATTAAACAGAATTACCATATGATCCAGCAATTCCACTTTTGAGTATATATCTAAAAGAATAGAAAGCAGGACCCTGGAGAGACACTTGTTTATCAATGTTTATATTCACAATAGTGAAGAGAACCTAGGTGTTCGTTGATAGATGAATATGGTTTATACATACAATGGAGTACTATTCAGCCATAAAAAGGAAGAATGACATTCTTATATATGCATGTAGATGAACTTTAAAGTTCATGCCAAATGAAATAAGCCAGACACAAATGGACAAACACTGTATAATTTCACTTCTATGAGGCACCCAGGATAGTGAAAAATTCATAACAATAGAAAGTAGAACAAAGGTTACTAGGAGCTGCAGGTGGGGATAATGAGAAGTTGTCATTTTTATGAGTACAGAATTTCTGTTTAGGATAATGAGAAAGTTCTAGAAATGGTAATGGTTGGACAACATCGTGAATATTCTTAATGCCACTGAATTGAACACTTTGAAGTGGTTAACTGGTAAATATTATGTTATATATATATTTTTTTTGTTTTTTGAGGCTTAGTTGAGACTGACCTGGAACTCACTATGTAGCCCAGGCTGGTCTCGAACTCACAGCAATCCTCCTGTCTCAGCCTCCTGAGTGCTGGGATTAAAGGCGTGCGCCACCACGCCCAGCTTGTTATGTATATTTTATCAGGTTTTTAAAAAATTTTTTAATAGCCATAGGTCACACATCATTGAGGCTGGCTGTCTTTTTGTCACATTCTCACTTCGGCACAAGTAGCTGTGGCAGAGGGAGAGAAATGGAGTTCAATCATATTGTTTAACACAGAGACCTAAGAACCGAAGGAAGTTACTGGAGTAACAGGGATTGGGAAGAAACCAGCCGAAGGATAAAGAATTTCAGTCAGGCAGCAGGAATAAGTTTGGGAGACCTAGTGAATAATATGGTAACAACTAATAACAATATACTCCATATTTGAAAATTCTGAAGAGAAAAGATTTTAAATGTTCTCAGAGCAAAACAGATGTAATATATATGCTCATTAGATCAATTTAGTCCTTCCACAACATATACACACTTTAAAACATTGTATTATATATAACAAACATATATATATATTTATTTGTTAATTCAATAAATAAAAAGAATCAATGGGGCAGTTTGCCTGGAAAAGAAGGCCAGTGGGCAGGTATGTGAAATCCAGGGCCCTCGGCGAGTGGTTTTGCCCATAAACACCAGGTAGAGGTGGTGAAGCTTCCAACGTCCTGACAGCCTCATCCTTCTCCTATCTCCCTCAGTCCACTTCCCTGTCCTGGAAGATCAAAGCAGTCCCTTGACTGGCTCTGTGCCCTGTGCCCCTCCTCCTGTCCATAATGTGGCCACTGGTCTACAGATCTGGTCGCAAATCAACAATCCTAGATACGACTTAGACCTGGCACCAAGATCCCCCGTCTCTTGCATGGCAACTCCAAACAAAAGGCTTCTTCTCAGACATGCCTAGTTATCACTGTAACGAGTTAACACACCTGGTCTTCCTGAAGACCTCTTGCTCCTTGCTCAAGTCAAGCTGGGCTTTTCCTGAGGTATTACCTTCCCCAGGGAACCTGCCCTGGCACCTCACCCTGAAAATGGCCAGAGCACTTTATAATTCCCTTATCATAGCTTTTTTTTTTTTTTCCTTCTTTTTCTTCTTTCAGCCTTAGGAGAGGAACACTCAGAGCACAGTGATCTCATTAGCCTGTGCTGACCCCTACTTAGCTTGTTTTACTTATTTTCCTCTTTCAATTCTCTTTTTCACTTCAGCATTCTAATGTGCTGGATATATGTTTTTAAAATGTAAGGAAAATATGTAGTGCTGTTTTGATAATACATGTATGTGTTCTTTTAATTTACATAAAAAATGAGGGCCAGGGATTTCACTCAGTGATGCCGCCGCCTGCCTGGCAAGCAAAAGGTTTCAAGCTCAATCTCCGATACCAAAAAAACAAAAAAACTTGTTATTACCCTATGTAATACCTTTTTCATCCAATTCTGTGCTTTAGTTCTGTGTGGCTGTTTATGCATCTGGTTTCACGGGTTTCAACTGATGCGCATCTGTGGGATGCTTAATCACAGTTTACTTTCCCCTGGTGGAGGATACCTAAATTACATTCTAATTCTTTGCCATCACAGTGTCTAATGAATAACTTTGTACATGTCCCTTTATGGCCCATGGAGGAGTTCCGCTGGCATATATAATATATCAAACAATGAAATGGTTTGGTCATAGGGTTTGCATGACCTTGAACTAAAGCATTATTTGTGGAGCCCATATATGCAAGTTCACGTACTCACTAACCTCAGCATCAAGTCTCACAAGGCTTTCAGGTCCATTCTTAAGCATGCACAACACAGTCAAAACTCTGAGTCACCCTGTGCACAAGTTCCCAGCTGACACCAAACTAGACAATACTCTGCCTTCGTGTCTCAGCTCTGACAGCCCTTCCGATGACACAGTAGAGGGTGCCCATGGACGGCAAGTCACCCACCACCACACTCAGGGTGCAGGAGGTGATCTGGAAAGAGCTGGGGAGCAAGGAGGTTCAGAAAGTCAATTGCTACAGCTAGGAAGTACAGTCCTGGAGACCCCGGAGTCTAAAGATTTGGGGTCGCAGACCCCCCAAGGACGGCATGAGTGAGGTGAAAGACAAACAGACCCCGGGGTGGACCACAGCCAGCAGTGACATGAAGTTCGAGTACCTGCTGTGTGGCCACCATCGGGAGCAGATGGCCGGCCAGGCCTGCGGGAAGACCTCCGACGAGGCCGCCTGCGGAAGCACGAGAAGCTGCACACGGCGAACCGGCCGTGTGTGTTTGTGTGCGAGATGTGCGTGAAGGGCTTCACCACGCAGCCCCCTGAAGGAGCACCTGAAAATCCACACGGGCTACAAGCCCTACAGCTGCGAGGTGTGCGGCAAATCCTTCATCCACGCCCCAGACTTGACGAAGCACGAGCGGGTGCACAGCAACGAGCGGCCCTTCGCGTGCCACATGTGTGACAAAGCCTTCGAGCACAAGTCCCACCTCAAGGACCACGAGAGGCGGCACGGAAGGGAGAAGCCCTTCGTGTGCGGCTCCTGCACCAAGGCCTTGGCTAAGGCCTCCGATCTGGAGCGGCACAAGAACAATATGCACAGCGAGAGGAAGCAGGTCGCCCCCAGAGCCATGCAGAGCGACGCTGCTGCTGCCATGGCTGCAGAGGCCGAGCAGCAACTGGAAACCATTGCCCGCCGCTAGGGGCCCCGGAGGCAGAGGCCCGGCTGAAGGCAGCTGGCGGTGCTTT